ATAAAAATCAAGGATAGTAAAAAGGAGTTTGATTGGAAAAGTCAGCGATAATGTAGTTTATCGTGAAACCGTGGTTCAACCATTTTATACCGTTAAGTACCGCCTATCGGTTTAGCTTTCGGTGAGAGGTTTTCTGATTGAACCGTCAGCAATATATAGTTTATTGTGACTAGATTGCTGCTTCCGCATAGCATATATTCAGATATTCTTAGAGTTTGGTTTGGTTGTAGTAAGCTTCCACTATTGACTTTATGCAAACTGGGTATGGCAGTATGGCTCATGTTTGCCATCACGTCAATTTGGATTGCACTTTGGATTCGTTTGTTCCGGTTGGTGAATCTGTAGTAGTTGGATTTCTTGAGACAGTAGTTTGGAAACAAGTTCATTATTTGATTGTTTTGGGTGTCGGTTGAATTTCTCAATATTGTTTGGAATATTGCGTTGAAATTATTGGCCTTTGCAAATATTGAACCTTTTGCTGTTGTCACTACTCTACTTTGTGTGCGAATAGGTTGGTTATGATGGAGATTGCAAAGGTTTTTCAGCGGGAGTCCTTTAAGCTCGTCTTGGTTTGGTAATAATCATAGGTGTCGACCCTTTGGTTTTTTTGTTTTGGTTTTGGAGGTGTTGTGAGATATTGTCCGGAATGACTCGATTTGATAAATATTGTTCGGAGTATTTTTGGTTTCATTTCGATGATACTATTCGGAGCATCCTGATCATCATGTTGTTCGGAGCACATAGTTATGTTTCCGTGACAATAAAATTTTCAGGTCACTGCTCTTCCTTATTGGAGTATCTTCCTTCGTGATCGTGACTTGGTTTTGCTGCTTCCTTCTGTACGGATATGTGACGAGTGATCTATTATTTTGTTAGCCACTTGGTTTGACGGACTAGATGACTTTGGCAAGAACATAACTTTCGTGATCTTCGGCTTATCACCGTAGAAGTTTCACGAGGCATGGGACTTGGTCTTCATCAACATCGGTATATTTGGCGGAGCAGCTATGTTTTTTGTTGTTTTTTTCGATCACATTGTTCGTTTGTTCATAGTCATTTATGTCATTTTGTGAGTTATGATTGGCAAGGAAGACAGCGACAGTGAAGGATTTATATAATTGGTTTCTGATTCCGGAATTCCAACAAATTTGGAATGGAGCTTCAGAAGTCCAATGGAGAGTGTCGTCCGGACTCCGGACACGATCAAGCTAGCTGCCAAAATCGTCTTCAGATTTTTGGTTCGTAGATAGATACACTGCTTGGTTCAATGTTATTTTTAACGCGATTTTTCACGGGAAGCCCGACCCAGACCTTATGCTGGTCTGACCAACAATACAGGATCTCAAAATATTTGGGCCTCAATCTGGCCCATCCATTAATACATTACATGTTAAAAAAATAGGGTAATGTCAGAATTAGTTAAATATTAATTTTTAATTAGCAATTTTATTAGTAATATTGGCTTGTTATTATGAGACTGACTTAACTAAAAAGAGTTATAAAATTATTAATGATAACGTAAAAATTATAAATATTTTAATGTATTATGAAAGAGTTGGATAATTAATAGCATTTTAATAGGTTTGGATAATATAAAAAAATATATAGCCGAATGGAGTTATGGAATTGGAGAGGCAATGGACCCGGACCAGACCGAAATTAGATGGGCAGAAGGGGCCGGTGAATTGGATGGCCACAAATACTTTGTTTTTTTTTTTTTTTGGCCGATTGTGTCCTTGCATTCTCACCAATTTTTGCAGGTATTTTGCTGTGAAATTTGAATTAGTGTTAGTTGAAGGGATTTTGATTGGAAATTTGGATTAGGGTCATACTAGCTTTGATCCGGGCCATTTGCCGGGTGAGTTTCATTTAAACATTAAATTAATTTTGAAAATTTTTGTTCATATTCTTGAAACTCTCGTTAATCTCGTGCATACACTACATTTATATCAAATAATTTGTTGTCATACTTGAATTATTTTTCATATATTATTAAAAATTTGTTGTTCTTTGTGTATGACCCGAATGTATGACTCGTAAATATACATAGCTAATTTAGTCCCTCCAAGGACACCCACGATATTGATACGATATAAGTTAATTTATAAGTGAAAACATACAACTACAACTCTTAATTGAGATATATATTAACTTTTGGCTAAATGTATAACATGATCATGTTATAATATTTCAATTTTTTTATCATTAAACTCATAATAGTTCATTTATCCAATCTTGAATCAGATGGAAATATAGTTTTTAAAACCATTTTATTTTCAAATGGTGGTTCATGAAATCTCGGTACATGAAACACTAAAAATAAATATCTAAACAATACATTTCATTCCATAATATTCGAAATTTCAAATAAGGTACAACTAATGTTTAAAATATTGGGACTGAACCTCACCCAACGTAATCAAATTATTATGCATGTGAACACTATTTGGTAGTGCATATGAAATATAATTTTTTTTATTATAAACACGGTGATAAACTTATATATAGTTTAAATATATAATATATGGTAGTAATATTTTTAGATGGTAAGGAATATAATTATATCTAAAAGGTATAAATATTTTATTTAAGGATAACACATGTAAAGGAAAAAACGTAAAAGTAAACTAAAATTGCAAAAGGAAAAAAAAAAACAAATCCGAAAATGGAGGAAGCATTAACCGAGGGATAGATATTTTTTGTTGGTTGAATTTTTTTGTTGAAATAATTTGATTGGCTAATGGCTGTGCTGACCGTGGATGCGTCAGGAAAGGAGAAATTTGAATGAAACCCTTTTGGGAAACTCCTTATTATTTTTTTTAGATTTTTAATTTTGATTTGATTAGGACCCCCGAATATCATAATTAGCCCAAGAGTCATGTCCCATGTTATCTTCCTCTGCTGGAATATTTGGAAGGCAAGAAATGAGTGTTTTTTCAAGAATCGGATCCCTTTGCATCCGAATGTGATTATGAGAACATACAAGGAATTAACTGAATGGACAACCTGTCCGAGGATTCCCCTCCTTTGCTCTCCTTCTCCTCAGCTCAGGGGAGTCCACTCACTCACTTCTCCACCGCCAAGCAATCATAATTTGGTGATTCACTGTGATGGGTCGTTTTTAAACGACTCCCAGCCGGCGACATTGATATGGTGTTGTTGTCATTAACAATCATGGGCAAGTGTGTGACGGGCGAGCTGACACCCTCCTTTGTTCCACCCCGTTCGAAGCCGAAACAAAAGCTCTTTTGGAAGGTCTCAAATTAGCTCAAGAATATGGCACTGAATGTGTTGTCCAGTCTAACTGCCAGACGTTAGTCAAAGCTCTTAATCAAGATTCTAGAAGTTGGCCATGGCGAGGAGCAGCCTGGATTAATGGATCCATGATTTCAGTCCTAAGAGCAAACCCTAAAATCAAGGTCAAGGCAATTTCTCGTAAATATAATGTCAGAGCAGATTGGGTTGTGCGATCACTTGCTAGATCTTCTTTCCCAGATAACTGAATTAGTGTTCTTGCTCAAATTTCTAATTTTCTTCGAGACTTGTAACCTCAATCTTCGTATTGGTGATGTGATGGAATAAAAGTTGAACCTTATTGTAAAAAATATATATATATATATATATCATGATTAGCCCTAAGAAGCAGGATAGGGAATGTTCTTAATGCCCCGTTCACTTCTCATTTTGTTTTCTGTTTTTTGTTGTGAAAATTAAAATCAAGAAACAAACGGCAAGAAACGTGTTCACTTCTGATTTTGTTTTCGTTGGAAAAATTGATTTGGCACAAATGAGGAAGCTAGAAGGAAACCATTAAAAGTCGTTTCCTGGAAATGTTGGGGCGGGTTATTCTCCCATTCCCAGTGAAAAATGAACATTGTGAGGTCTTCAGTTCGATTCCTCACAGCGACAAATTTTTTTTGCTTCTCTGCTCTTTTCCCAAAAGCTCCCCTTTTGCCCACTAAAAATCCTACGACCAGCCAAACTCCAGCCCTCTCCTCCAAAGCGTCACATCATCTTCCCACTTCCCCTGCAACCCACTTTCATCTTCCCTTCCCTCGCCATCTGCTTCCTCTCCACAACCATCATCTCCTCTCCGGCGACAACCAGCCCCGCGTCTGAGAAGAGAAGCAGCGCCGTCGAATCCTTCCTCCAGCCGGCGAAATCAAGCAGCAGCGAATTTGCTCTGGGGGGAGAACGCGAATCCTATTGACTGACCCTTTCACACTAGTTTTGAAACAATGAGCTTCAAGCTATTAATTGGGTGAAGTGGAAACAGATTCACCCACCATAACACTGCGATTATAAGCTCTGACCAGGTGATGGAGATCGCCGATTAATTGCGCGATTGTTGAACTGAAAGAGGAAGAAACTACCAACAAACAACGTAATAAGGCTATGAGATGCAGAAGTGCTTTGGTTTTGAGGAAGCTAGGATTTTCTGCGCCGGGAAGATTCGGCGACCAACAGTCAACGGGGACCTGGACATACCGGCCCCGGAAGAATCAGATTGAAGAAAAGCATCCATGGCCTGGAAGCTTCTGGTTGATAGATAGGGATTATTAATTTATTGTCTTTTTTCCTATCGTATATCAACAAAACAGTGGGCTTTTGGAATAGTATTGGGATGCAACTTGCAAGCAAAAGCCCACTCACCGAAAACTAGCACTTATGTTGTATGTGTAATTGTTCTATATATTTAATGAAAATGATGCATTAGTGTAACATAATGAAACCAGTGTAACGTTGACTAATTATTCATATAAATAATTGAATGCTCCTTTATCTATAGTGTGATGTGTATACGATGTTTGTTCTTGTATTGTGTTGGTGAATAGTTTAAAAACAATGTAATTTGTATTAAAAATTATATAAAGTCATGACTAGAGTTGTATGATATTCAACGAACAAAAATTGTAGTAAACAACAACCAGAAAACAGTATTCAATCATGACTAGTACTTAATTAATATAAGATTTTGTATTTGTATTGTGTGTATTTGTAGTTTAAAAACTATTTAATTCGAATTAAAAATTATAATCATGGCTAGGGTTGTATGATAATCAAGAATCAGAAAACAGAATGAAGCAACTAAACAGGTTTCATTTTCAGAACTCAGCTTCAGGACTTACCAAAATTCTCAGCTAAACAAGGTTTTTTCAGGTTTTGTTTTCCAGAAAATAACAGTTTCGTTTTCATTTTAATTTTGTTTTCTGTTGTGGCAGCTAACTCAAATAGAATGACAAGTAAACCACTATATTACTTTATACATTATATTAAAATACACACTCCGTGACGCAGGATCCACTCTGATACAGCACAACAGTAGCTAGTAGCTGCATACATTACCAGCAAAGAGAGACGCACACTTGAATCATAATGTAAATCAGCTGCACACATTATTGATTGACATCTAGGCCACAAGGTCAAGGACGGAGATGATTAACCAGAGATCTCGATGGCCTTGACGTCAGGCTTCTTGACCTCGGCTTTGGGCACAGTCACGGTCAGCACGCCGTTCTCCATCCCGGCCTTGATCTCATCCATCTTCGCGTTCTCCGGCAGCCTGAACCTCCTCACGAATTTGCCGCTGCTCCTCTCCACGCGGTGCCACGTGTCGTCTTTGTCCTCCTTCTCCACGCGCCTCTCACCGCTGATCTGCAGCACCCTGTCGTCCTCCACTTCCACCTTCACCTCCTCCTTCTTCAGCCCCGGCAGGTCGGCCTTGAACACGTGCGCCTCGGGAGTCTCCTTCCAGTCGATCCTCGTGTTCACGAAGGCCGTATTCTCCCCGCCGCTAGGGATGAGAGCCGACGAGAATGGGAAGTTCGTCGACAAGTCCCTGAAGGGATCGAAAGCGTCCAGGGCCGAGAATGGATCCCACGCGCCGCTGCTGCTGCTGCCGCGGCGGTTCCCGAAGAAGCTTGGAATCAGCGACATTTTGATTTTCGTAAAGATTGGGGAAGTAAGAAAGATTTGCTTTTTGCTTGATTGGATTGCTCGAACTGATTTTGCTCTACCAAAGTGTTTTGCTGAATTTGATTGGGTAATCGGAAGGGGGCTACTGCTATTTATTCATACGAACGCAGAGGGATAGGCGTCGTGCTCCACAGCTCCAGAGACTTCTGGTGTCTTCTTTACATTTCTTTTTCCAAGGATAAAGTGAAGATCCATCAATGGAGAAAGTTCTTGTCGGTTCTAATCGGGCTGTTTGATCCGGAGTTTTCTAGTGGATGCTAGAATAGCTTTGGGCTTTCTAAAGATATTATGTTATGGGCTCAAGAATAATTCGTTTGTGAGCTAGATTGGATCCTGAAATTTTATGGCGTTTTGCGTGAAGCCCATAGAGCCCACCAACGAGACTCGGTTTTCTTCTTCGATGTTCAATTCTCCTGGTCGGCTAAGGATTTTCATGCCCACCCCTAAATCCATCGAGCTTGGGACTGCCCTTTACATCATTCTCGTAGGGAAACAACTCAGGTGGCAAATACAATTTACGCAAAGCCAGATTCAACTGAGCAAACAACTACGCACTGTCATCTCATATGTTTACTGTTTACAACGATGTTTCTATTTATCAAAATCGATAAGTGTTGTATGCTAAGCTTTGAGTGTCGAGTCTTCTATATTGTTCAGGTTTAGATGTAGTGTCCTCGCAATTCTGCTATTACTATTAGAATTAGTATTGTTTAGCACTTTTTATTGATGAAATTCTAAATAACAGTCTATTACATTTGTCAACTGTAGCCAGGAACAGCTAAAGGATCACTAAAAAATAAGGGGGATAAAGTGATAAACCACAAAAGACACGAGAAAGGAGCCTGAAGAAGGAATGCACGAAATCTTTTGTTTCGGTCAAGCTGAAGAAGACCTGGAATCGAGCCACGTTATGATATCATCAAAGACGGCAAAGATCCTGTCATCAGGTTCTCCTTCAAGGATGGAGTGAAACCCACCTTCATAGAGCTTCGACGTTTTGTGACAAAAGGACCACCAGTCAGTAATGCAGATAAATTTTGGACTTCTTTCAGTGAAAGAGGATGAGCAGAGAAGAACAAACCATTTTTCTTTTCGCTGGGTCCCTGAAAGCAAGTTCTGCTAAATCACTCTCTGGCATAAGCTTTGCCTTGGGTAAGAATTTAGCCATGCAGGTCAATACCTTCAAAACTGGCGCAGGAGGCCTGACTTCATCTGAGATCTTGGCAAACCATGACGGTTAGCTATTGATTTAAACTTTATAACAAGGAGTGAAGGACCATGACTTCTGACTTTTTCCATCAAGAAAAATGCAGACCAAACACATCATAGCAAAAATATATGACAAGCTAAATGCTGTTCTCTACCCTGTCAGACTAAGATTCCGTCCATTATTAGAGGATGATGCGAGACTTTAGTCACTTCATACATAAGATAAAGAGCATTCACGGCTAAAACAGGATTGCTTGTGATGACCAGTAGATTCAGAAGATCGTAATAGGCTTAAGGCTTGTAGTCAGGACACAACTTTGAATGATCTGCAACTGATGCACATAACTTTCTTGATGCAAAATAAATGAAGACTTTATATAACCTTATCGATTGTGGGCAGGGTCTAAAGATTCCAAATTTATCCAACTAAAATGTGTACCTTAAAGTTCAGGGGTCTTAATTGTGCTATAATATGTCACAGGAACCGATGGTAAGTTTAGTTAGTGCTAATCTGCTGCAGTTGCTTGGAACAGAAGCAGACTGTTTAATGGAGCCTATTATAGATGAAGTAGCACAGCAAAATAGAGAGAAATGAAAGAGCTTACTCTACACATGGAGGCTACAAGGATGACACCATCCCATTCACTTGGATCTTCCAGATGAAGTTTGAGAGTAACAGCTCCACCCATGGACTGGCCCAATATGATGCTGGGCAAACCTCTCACCTCAGGTCTTCCTGCCAATAACCAACTATAATGGAGTCACTTCATTGAGAAGGAATAACCGAGAAACATTTGTTATGATCCACCACTATGCAGGAGGGAAAAAGTCAGAACCTTCAATCTTGGCAAAAATTTCGTAGGCATTGTCTACTAAGTCATCAAAGTTCTGAATGTAACCATGCAATCCTTCAGAGAGACCAAAACCTGGGTGATCCACGGCATAGACAGCATACCCCGAAGAAGCGATTTGGCTTGCAATACCTGTCATTCATTGAACACCATCAGTACTGCAGCAGCTCAAATTATATCCATTAACTTCAGCGCGAGAGACGGACCTTCAAAGAAGAATGTGCAGGTATCACCAGAACCATAGCAGAAGCACACAGAACCTTTGATTCGAACCCCAGGTTCTGGCATCCAGCTCTTGCAAAACACTTCCTGACCCTTATAATTTATCTCATACCACTGCCAGTTCCCACCAACAGAAGCCAAAAAATACCCAGCAATTGAATTGACACCATCCCGCTCTGTTCCAAATTAGATTCAGTTTATTTCATTCCGTACCTGTTCTGTTCAAATCCCTGGAGGAGCCAGCTGCCCACTAAAATCGATTCAGTAAATAACCCACATACAAGGAGCAAACCCAAATTGAAAAAGACACAAATCAAAAGGGAAATTTTGCAAAAAAGGGACCTTGTAGAGAGGATGATCGAGCTGCTGCTGGAGATGAGTGAAAGCGGATCGAACCAGTCTCCGGGAGTGAGCGTGGTCCAAGTTTAGCGAAGCAATCGAGTTGAGGTCGACTGTCACACCCTCGACGGGCTTCTTCTTCGTCAAGGTTGCAGACACGTTGGCCGGCTGCTGCTGCTGAGAAGAAGCTCTGTTCCAAGGCCTTGACAGGAGTTTTGAGAGGGAGGCTTCGGCGTTCCTGGCGAGAGAAGCCATGGATGGACGGGTGTGCGAAAGACAGAGCTCGAGAAGGTGGGTGGTGAGGAGTTGGAGAGACTGAAAAGAGCGAGCGCGAGAGAAATCGAAGATCGGAGAGAAAATGGACGGAGAAGGGCGAGGTGTTGGCTGTTGACTGTTGCTATTGGCAAGGCACTGACTGAGACTGAGTGATGTGAACGCGGCCGCACCCACTGAGTAGGAAGGTTGATGGCGACACCAATTGGCTGCGCCCACCCTTCCCCATTTTCTTTGGTCTCTTACTCCGTTGTTATTTTGTTGTCTTTCTTTGTTCTTCTGATTCTTTGACGGTGAAAGACGTTTAGGAAAGCAGCCGAAAAATTTACAGTGGGATTAGAAAACTACCATCCCAATTCAAAATTTCTCTTACACTATGTTTACGAAGGAAGGAGGAAAAGAAGGGGAGGTAAAGGAAAATTAGGAGGGGAGGGGGGATTTGGAGGTGAAGGAAATTGAGAGGAAAATATTGTTTTATGGAAGAAATTGGGAAGGAAGTGTGTATTGGGAAGTGTGATGAATATGTTATTTTATTGATTATGTAATAGTAAAATAATTTGATAGTATGTTAATATTATAATTATGAATAGTGATTTAATTTGTACTTTCTTTCTAAACTGCACCAGAGATTGGCCGGAAAAATTAGTGGTAGGGTATTATTCAACTTGTATTTCACTAGAGATTGTACCGGAAAACTTTGTACTTTCTTTCTAACAAGCATTCTAAATCAATTAAAAATTATTCATATTATATTATACAATGTTTAAAAAACACAACTGTACCGGCTGGTCGGACTGGAAATATCGGATATTAGACAGTAGACAATTTTATCGGTAGAAATTGATTGAACTATAGTTAAACCACGATTTTAGTACAAAATACCCTACTTTCCTGGTATAACCTCCAATACGGTACCGTAATCATTTGAGAATTGTGATGAATATGGTATTTAATTGGGTATATAATAATAAAATAATTTGAGTATATATTGATATTATTTTCATTGCTTATGATTGTGAATTAAATTTGTAGGTTTTTTCTTATCAATGTATGATGTAAAACAATTATATGTTATGTTCATGATTCAAGAGTATTGTATTTAGTCTCCTCATTTCTATTTGGTTATTGCTACTTTGATTTTAATAGGCAACCAATTTGTTAACATTTTAGCAACAAAAATATAATTGTTACAAAGATATGTACATGCATGTATACTTGTATTAAACTGAAGTTTGGACCGGACCGCACCGGACCGAGTATAATGCGGTCTGGTCCTTAGTCCACATGAATAATTTCTTTTTGATTAAGAGCTAATACCATTGTAAAAATTTGAACATTCGAGTCGAAACGAATAAAATATAATCCATCGAATTTCATTGGAGTGATTAGAAATATAATATCATTCCATTAATAAACCCAAAAAGGTATTAATTTATTAGTTTCCTTTTTTCATTAAGACCACTTCTCAAAAACATATTAACACGTTTATAATATTTAAACTCATTAACTAACTAATTATCTCACTGATTAATATATCCATATTATTAATATTTTTTACAATCATATTTTTAATTTTAAAAACCCATCATTAACTAACTAATGATCACATGGAACTTCGGTTTACGCCAAACAAAAGGAAAATATGGGAAAGAAACAAAAAAGAGCACGCAAAAAATAATCTCCGGCTCTCCACCCAACTTTCTCTCCGAAATGGAGGGTGGCCTTCCACAGTGCACTTTCTATAGCTTTCCTTTCCTTTGCTACTATTGTAAACCTTAAAAAACTAGGGAAAACATATTGGTTTCTGTGCTTTCCTTTACACTTTTCCTTTCCTCCCACTTTCCACCCTAAAAAAACAGAGTGTTAAGGAGAGCATTTTGTGGAGTGATCTTTTCGTACTTGTACTTTTTCCTTTACACTATGTTTTCGAAGAAATGGAGGAAAAAGAGGGGAGGTGAAGGAATATTAGGAGGGGAGGGGAGATTTGGAGGTAGGGATGGCAATGGATCGGGTTGGGTTGAGTTTTGCCAAACCCAAATTCATGGGTTTATCCGTGAAAAAACCCGGGGTAAAATCCACTGGGTTTGAAAAACTCAAACCCAACCCGACCCGCTGGGTATCCGCGGGTTCATGGGTACCCACGGGTTTGTGTCGTAAAAAATTTACAATAACAAGTTTCTATCAAAATTAAAGTCAAATATCAATCTCTCAATACAAATTATCGATATATAAAACACCATTCTAGAAAATTCAAGCAAATTACAAGTTAAATATACAAAATTTTCAACACCAATCTAGAAAACTCAAGAAAATTGAAGCAAATCACAAATTATCCATAAATAACATGATTAATTGAAAGCTTCTTCCTTTCAATTAAGTTTGTTCACTCTCCACTCGGTAATATCAACTTCATTCTACACAATTAGAAAGAAAAAATTAGACATGTCTCCACAAACATAAATAAGATTAATTGTTTAGAATATTAATATACCGAGAATATTAACTATATGGGTGTGGGCGGGTACCCATGGGGCGGGTTTACCTAAACCCAAACCCAACCCAACCCGGTGAATAGTGAACGGGTTTAAACCCAAACCCGGCCCAAAACCCGTCAACACGGGTTTTACCCGCGTTGATCAGATTGGTTCGGGTGGGTACCCGTGGGTTCGGGTTTTGTTGCCATCCCAATTTGGAGGTGAAGGAAATTGGGAGGAAAATGTTGTTTTATGGAGGAATGTTAGAAGGAAAGTGTGTATTGAGAAGTGTGATGAATATGTTATTTTATTGGTTATGTAATAGTAAAATAATTTGATTGTATGATAATATCCTACTTATGAATTGTGAATTAAATTTGTAATTTTTTTCTAAACCGCACAAGATATTGTACCCGGAAAATTAGTGACAAGATTTTGTTTTAAAATCGTGATTTAACCACATCAATTATTTATAAATAGAGACTTTATCATAATTGATCAAGCATTCTAAATCAAATAAAATTTATTCAACTTATATTATACAATGTTTAAAAAACACAACAGTACCGGCTGATCGGACCATTAATATCGAATATTGGACCCAAAACAGTTGGCGATTTTAGCTGTAGAAAATGATTGAAATATAGTTAAACCACTATTTTAATACAAGATACACTACTTTCTCGGTATAAGTATAACCTCTGGTACGGTTTCCCATTAGAAGCGTAACACACTCTTATTTAACTTTTTCTATCCCTACTTAGAGCTGCAAATGAGTCGAGCTGCTCGGCGCTCGACTCGAAAAAAGCTCGTTCGAAACTCGGGTCGTTTACTAATGAGTCAAGCCTGAACTTAGCCTTTTGCAGCTCGCGAGCTAGCTCGACTCTGTGTCTTGTTGAGCTCAACTCGTGAGTTGGCTCATTTAGAGCTCATGAGATGTCTCAACTCTCAACATTGTGGCTAGGGAGCCAACTCGATAACCATGAGTGAATTGATCTATATTAGTTTTATTTTGATAATTCATAGGATTGTTAAATTATATATTTCACCCTATATGATGTTTAACACGAGATTATGTGAGCAAATACGTCTTATTTAATTTTAAAAATAAATTATATATCATAAATTGCTTCGATACTATGAAATAACATAATTTCACTAGTTAAAATTTATTAATTAAATAGTTTGATACCACAAAGTATAAAATTAGAGTAGTTAATATTATATACTTAACTTTTATTATTATTATTATTATTTTAATCTTTACATTAATCACATGGGCCATGTATGACATACAAAATGAATATATCAAATACGAGTCAAGATTTTATTAACCAAGCTAGCTCGAACTCGACTCGACTCGTTAATAAATGAACCGAGCTCGAGCTCAACTTGTTTATTAACAAGACAAGCTCAAACTAGAGTAAAACTCGACTAGACTCAACTCGACTCATTTGCAGCACTACCTATCGTTTCTCTTTCTCAGCAGAGAAAGATTTGGTCCATCTAGCTTTCCTTTTTTGCTTCTTCTGTTTTCTGTTTTCAGTATTGGTGTTTGTGGCTTTTCAGTTGGTTTAGTTCTTGTGAACTTCAACCTTTGTTGTTGACTCTTTCTTGTATTTCCTTTCTTTTGCTTTTTCAGTTTTATTTAATAAAAGTTCATCATTTATAACCAATCTGTCGCTTCTCCTTACTCGAAAATACCCAAAAAAAAGTAGTCGAAACACATAATATATTCACATTCTAACAACTATCAAGCTATATCTCCTTTGTAATTTACAACCCCACAAAACATTTTAGGGTTCTTATCTCCACGTCTAAGCTAAGTTTCTCTAAACTTGTACCTCTAAGATATTTTCTCCATTTACATTTATTAACTTTATATTTGAAGGTCATGGCCTAGTGATGAAATCTTAATCACTTGAGGCCGAGAGTATTGAAAAAATTGCATTATGAAAGAATGATACCCCAATGTCTCTTGTCACTTACTAGACATAGTTTATGTACAAACTTATTGAACCAAATAATATTCTATTGTTCGTATATTTATAAATTGATATTATTTATTCCAATTGCATGCTTAAAATGTATATGGAAAAAATCATGTGATGATTTAGTGCATTGGGTATTTTTGCTCATTGGATTTGAAATATGAAGTGTTTGTGATGGATTTGTGTCATTCTTGTTTTGATTTTTATTTTATTTGCGTGCTATATTTAATGATTGATTTTGTTGAAAGAAATAAATGTAGAACAATCAGCAGACATTAAGGAACTGTTTTCATGGCATAATAATCTTTTTAATCTCATTATATGCGAGTCTTGCCTGCAAGTATTTTAAATAATAATCAAAAAAAATTTTATACAACCAAGATCGCACGGACAGTTGAATTAGCTTATTTAGAAAGGACGTTATTGGTCTATTCCGAGTTCCGACCCATGAGAATAGGCCATTCGACAAGTAAATTATGAAATTACCAAGGCACGAACCCGACGGAATCGTGCGTTGAATCACAACAAAGCTCATCCAAAACTCGATTTAGTCTGTGTTGGATTAGTAGCTCACCATGAGTATAAGTAGAGGATACTCTCAGAGTCTAACCTCATCCTGAATACAACAGTGTCATTTGACTACCAGTGTTTTCTGCAGTAAGAGTTCCATCACCCAGCAATTGAATGTTAAAACAGGAGCAGGAAGGATTGTTCTTTGTCAAACCTTGAAAGCAAGTAAGGAACTTTTTCCCCCTGGAATTATTATTATTCTCTTCATAGAGTGGAAACTGGAAGTGGGATTTAATAATCCACGCGAGGTATAAGAGAAATTCCAGTTGGTTGTTGTTTTCTCCCAGCAGTCTCTTCTTCTCTCCCTTCCCCTGCTGCTGCCTCTGGGTTTCGTGTGTGTCTCTTCTGTGTATTATATAAATGGGGTTTGTTAATGGCTATGGGGATATTTATAAAATGGGGCTAGCGTTGTTGGCGTTGGGAATCCCCATTCCCATTCCCTTCTCATCAAACATTCATTCCCACATTGCACGCCTGTTTGTTTCTTCGTTTCTCTCATCCATCATCATCCTCCATATAACTCGTAATTCTTTTGAAATTGCAGAGCAAAACCCAGAAATTTTACAGTCACCCAGAAAGCCAATCAGCGCTCAGAGGTCATTCACCGGCGAAAGGAAAGGAAAGGAAAAAGACAAGAAAGGGCTGCACAGAAGGCGACTCTGTAAATTCTCTCTGTATCGTCATCAAACAAATATCAGAAACCCAAACAGCTGCTCTGCTGCTCGCTCACACAAAACGCCAACGCCACCTCTCTCTGTCTCTTCCCGTTGTTCAATTCCTTCACAGACATTCTCTCTTAACCCTCCATTGCCAGAAAAAAACAGCCCCTATTATATGTCTGTCGCATTCCCATGAAACTTCATTTACTCGAGACCCATTGCTCCCTGCTCCCTTCTTACTCCCAGGACTCCCTCTCTTTCCTCCTCAATCCCCCTTACGCCCGGTGCCGCCGCTCTCCGCCGTCTTTCCGCGGCGTCCGGATGGACTCTTCTTCCGATACTTCTTCTTCTCCTCCTCCAGCTCTGTCGTTTTCCCGGCGGCAGAAGGAGAAGGTTTTGGTGATCATGGGGGCAACGGGCTGCGGGAAATCGAAGCTCTCCGTCGACCTCTCAATCGCCTGCGGGTACGAGGCGGAAATCATCAATTCCGACAAAATGCAGCTCTACAAGGGGCTCGACATCTCCACCAACAAAATCACGATTCCGGAGCGGCGAGGGGTCCGGCACCACCTCCTCGGCGATTTGGACCCGGCCGACGGGGAAATGACCGCCGCCGAGTTCCGCGACCTCGCCGGGGCGGCGGTCGCCGACATTGCATCGAGGGGGAAGCTCCCCGTCGTGGTGGGCGGGTCCAACTCATTCATCTATTCTCTCCTCGTTGACCGGTTTCACCCCGGGTCGGATGTTTTCTACGGGTCGGGTCCGGAGGACCGGGTCTCCCCGCAGCTGAGGTACGACTGCTGCTTCCTCTGGATCGACGTCGCGTTCCCCGTTCTCTGCGACTACCTCTGCCGGCGGGTGGACGAGATGGTGGAGACCGGGATGATGGAGGAGATGGCGGATTTCTACTCGTCGGAATCGTGGCCGGGTCGGACCGGGCTGCTGAAATCGATCGGGGTGCCCGAATTGGAATGGTACTACAAAATGGGGAAATTCGAAACTGAGAATAAGAAGATGATTGTTAACGAAGGAGATGATGAAGGAGGGTGGGATACAGTACGGAGGAGCGTATACGAGGATGCGGTGAGGAAGATCAAGGAGAACACGTGTCGGCTGGCGGAGAGGCAGGTGGGGAAGATCATGCGGCTGAAAAGCGGCGGGTGGGACCTACACAGGGTGGACTCGACGGACGTGTTTAGAGAGCGGTTGAGAGCGGAGGAGGAGGCGGAGGCGGAGGAGGAGGAGGAGGAGCTGGTGATGATGACGGCGGCGGCGGAAAGCGGCGGTGGTCAGCAGCGGAGGAAGAGTAAGATTAAGAGGCGGAGGCAGTGGGTGGAGGTGTGGGAGAAGGAGGTGATGGATCCAAGCGTGAAGATTGTGAAGCAGTTCTTGCAGGAGGAGTAGGTTCTGCATCCAGCTTTTTTCCAGCTTTCTCCAAATAATTTCTTCTTTTCTTTTCTTTTTATTTCCCCCTTTTCCATTTCTCTCTCTCCCTCCATACATTTTTTTTTTCTCTCTTTTTTTCCATTTTCATTTTTGGTTTCAGAAACAGTTTTGAAATACAGTCTAGAGAGAAAAGATAGATAAGAGAGAAATTTTGATGGGAGCCGAGAGTCATAGTCAGATTAATTTTAGCACCATAAAGCAGTTTTGTTAGTGCTAGAAAGCTTTGTTAGAATAATGAAGGGAAGGAATGTGGATTCTCTAACGCAAGAGAATTGGTGCATTTTCTTTCCTGAATTCAATCTTTCAATTTGAGAGAGCTTGTAATAATTCTTCCTATATATCATTGATATGTTTAATAATAAATTCATTATTATTATTTATTATAATCAATTTATCATGTCGATTTGCTGTTGTCGGATGTCCAAATTTCTCATTTCAAAATTAATTGCAATAACTATCATTTTACAATCAGAGAGATATAAGCGAGTATTGGATCCCGTGCATGGCTGATCTTACAATTTCGTGACCATGAATTTGATCAAGAACCAGAAAGTAATTTAAAGAAGAAATTTAAATCAAATGACCTCATCACTAATATGAAAAAAGTAATGTAGAACCATTATCATTATTAGCATATACTATAATTATACGCTCACACGATACCTTATCGTTCCTACTACACCTCATAACACAATCCAAGTAGGGAACCGTCTTCAGGGCAAATCGAATGCAGGACAACAAACCTAGATTAGATAGCTACCTTACGTTTCTTCAGAAAGGTCCTAGGAACTTTTGAATCGAAAGAGCAAAATATGGAGTCTATCGTGAAGAAGAAAGCAAAATCCCAAATACAAAAGAGAACTTTTTCGAACCCTTTTTTGGCTTTCGTCCGCCATTCCCTTTTGTTTTTGTTTCTTCTGCGCAAACATATTAAACGGGGACCTCCCCTGGACTCCTGGTGGGCCCCAATTAGAATTTGTTACGAGCTGTCCAAAAGAACTGTATAATATTAATACTACAATTCAGGTTTTAAATCGGTTTGAATTTATTTATCTATTTGAGTTTTTTTTACTTAATTTCCGCCCTCTAATATATCCATGTTTTAACATTTGGTGATGACTGGTGTACGTTAAGCGTATAGTATACGTCAGGTGATTTAATCGTTAGATGTAGTTAGATGACCTCCGGCCAATCTCAACGGTCAATTTTTGTTTTTCATTAAATCAAACTTTGGGTTAGGGTTTAGAAAATCGGTGTCTGGGGTTTATCCATTAGAGGTTAGGGTATAGTATCATACCCCAAACTCGATTTAATTCATGGTCTAGATAGTGATATCTCACTAGTAGTACCTGACGTATAGTATACGTCTGACGTACGCCAGTCTAACCCTTTAACATTTATAATGTTATATCACTATTACTGCTTGCTTGCCACACAAGGCAAAATACAGAATACTCTAGAACATGTAATGAAACTTATGGATAGTTTTTTTTTAGAAAAATGGGAAATCGGGAACGGATCAGGTCAGTAACCTTATGGTGAGTAACCATGAGTAACTCGTCCACATTAGCATCCCTCTTTTTCCTTGAAAGCCTTTAATTTTTCCCTCCTTGATTTTTGATGACGATTTCTCACTCGTTTTAAGTCAAAATTTAATTTTTTTTTTGCACACTTAGATCAGATTAATTGTGCTCTTCAAAAATGATATCAACTTTGATATATTTTTCGAACAAAAAAAATTGAGCTATTTTTTACCAGTCTATACCATATGGTATTGACTGGTATTGAAATAAGAGCATACCTATGGTTTGAAAAGTGTACCATGGTGGTAGAAATAAACAAAAACTGTAGGATGGTTGAATACATGATAATAAAAGTATATTAAATGTCATTTACGACTTTTAACATTGTGTACCACAAGATACCACCCCATACCAGGGTGGTATTGTATGGTATTTTTTGGTCCTGTAATTTGTTCACCCAGAAATTTGTAAATCCAATAGATCATGATGAACTCGTTCCTTCTGTGCAAACGTTTTCAAAAACGAATCAAATACCATATGGTATGCAGTTGGTACCAAAAGGCAAGATATTTTTTGTATAAAAAAATATTGAAAATTGATATCATTTTGTTGAGCACAACGAACTCGTTCCATCTGTGCAAAAAAAAAAAAAAAATTAAAATCTGAGTTAAAACGAAGAAGATATGAGTCGATTAAGAAATCTAGAAAAAATAAAAATTGTCTTTAATTCTCTATCCTTATATATGGATTTTCTATATGGTGGGTCCAGACAATTCAGATCCAAGAGTTATCAATTAAAGACATTTTATTTTCCCTAGTTTTCTTAATCGGCATTTATTTTCTTTGTTCTAACTCGGATTTTAATTTTTTTTTTTTGCACAGATGGGATGAGTTCGTTGTGCTCTACAAAATGAGATCGATTTTTAATATATTTCGAGAAATTTTTTTACCAACTACATACCATATGGTAACTTCTTCGTTTTTAATTCGTTTTTTAAAACGTTTGCTTAGAAGGAACGAGTTCATCATGATCTATTGGATCTATAAATTTCTGGGTGAAAAAAATACTGGATAAAAAATTACCATACTTTACCACTATGGTATGTGGGTGGTAACTTGTGGTAACTTGTAGTAAACAATGATGAAAGTCATAAATGACAGTTAGTATACTTCTACTATCATGTATTCAACCTTCTTACCATATTGGTATGTTTATACCATCATGATACACTTTCTTACCATATGATATTAATACCATATGGTAATGACTGGTAAAAAATTATTCAATTTTTTGTACTAAAAATATATCAAAGTGGATATCATTTTAAAGAGCACATTTAATCTTATTTATCTGTGCAAAAAAAAATTAAATTTCGACTTAAAACGGTAGAGAAATTGTCCGTTAAAGATTAAAGGAGAACAAATAAAAGACTTTCCAAGTGAGAGGATACTGATGTCATGCTGATGTGGACAAGTTACTCATGATTACTGACCATATGGCTACTGACCTGATCGATTCCAGAGAAATCCTATACCAACATTGACACATTATTGATTTTGGGCAACTCAACTTCAATACGATAAATATCCAAGAGAGATACAAAATGAACACAAAATGTGGGTGATAAAGAGTAACCTAATGTAGCAAAATAACAAGCCACAAAAATTGGTCATTCTATAACCATACTTTAGCCTAACCTACCAAGGCAAGGCACCTAATTATAATCACTATTTTCGTAGAGAAATATGAGCGGGAAAGAGTGACGGGCTCAATCAAGTTTCGAGGGAAAATACTGTGAACCAACAATGTATAATTAACAAACTATATAATGTGCCACTCATTTTGTATTTTCTTTTTCTACCTTCCATTTTGTATTTGTATAAGAGCAACTGGATTTATAATCTATTGATAGATATTTTCAAATTGAACATTATATCCACCTAGATAGTCATACCCTGTTAAAAACTAAATCCATAGTGCGGCCACTTCTCTTTTAAAAATGAGATTAAGCATGGGCTGAGCACCCAAGTTAATTAGCCCATTCTCCTTTTTAAACCACACAATGATGAGTCTTGCCCTTTTTAAATACTTCGTAACTAAAATAATAATTATGCTCTATTTTTAGTACATCCCATTCTCCTCATCAACATACTTGCACGACATCCCCCCAATTCACAGGTGACACATTTTCCATCCTAATCATGTTGCTTTTTTCTTTTTTATACATAGCAATTTGGTCAGAATTTGTGTGCTCAGCTTAATATGGTTGGATAAATTTTCGATCAAAACAATGCATGTTGGATCTGTACAAATTTCGAAATCCACCAACTGACTTTTGTTTGGAGACACGCGCAATAATTACATTAGACAAAATTTATCGCCCAAGGAAAGAGAAGAAGCAAAGCTTGGATCTTGCTAGTACTCTTCAAGTAATGACCGACTTTGCAATCCTATGCAAAATGGAATATCTTAAAACGTCCGATCCAGTCCAGTGCAGAGAGTCAGAGAGAGGGGAGGGACAAGAGGTGAGCAAAGTTTGGAAGCTGTTCCTGGAAAATCTGAAAGGTCTGACATTTATAGATTTTGTGCTTAGATTAGATTAGATTAGATTCTGCTCAATCGTTTACTATATTGTGTAGAAAGATTTGGGTCGATAATTTAACTTCCAGCTGATCTATAATTATGAACCTAATCCTTCCATTTCAACCAATTTCTGGTTTGATGACATGCATCACAATGGAAGACCTAACTGATGGAAGCAAAGCAAGCCCATTTAGTGTTCTTTTAATATTCACTTCCCCAAGATCTCCAATCCGATCTCAATGTGCTTCACGAGCACCATATATTTGTAGCTCACCACATTTGTGTATACCAAAAGCCCCCATCCCAGCTGTGTGTTAGGGTATATTTTATTTGGAAATACCACCAACATTCTTTGGGGGAAAAGAAGAAGAGACTATAAATACCTTTCTTGATTAATACAATAGGAACCATTTTTTTTTAATCAAACACCACTACCTTGTATTAGTAGCATAATCGTATTACAATTCCTATAAAATTATGTAAGAATCCGTATCGAATGATTGGATCTAAGTGATCGAATCTAATAAATACATATCTATGTTCAAGCATTAAGACTAAAAGTTTACTCGTATATGTAGATATCAAAAATTCGGATTTACGTACTAGTCTCTCAATCAAAGGCAACGTATATACCAACGAACTGCAACTAGAGTTGTTATGTCAATGCTTAGAACTTGATGATTCACTTGTAGACTTTGACAAGGAAAAGTTAATGCTTTTTACTTTACTTTTATCCTAATGAGTTCTTTGATATCTTATATTTGAGCATCAAGATGGCTTATATCTTTCTTGTGAAGATAGATGATAGGTTTACTAGATTGAAGTGAGAGTTGCCGAGCTTTCTAGGGCAACGGTTATGTCACGTATCCATCAACTGTTTTCACAATAAACTACGTGAAGAATACACTTCGAAATAAAATGAGCGATGAAGTCATGGATGGGTTTTTAGTAGAATACATTGAGAGTGACATCCTTGTTACTTTGCATCATGAATGTATTTTTTTTTTCTTTCAAAATATGAAGATATATTTTGGGTCATTGTAAGAAGTAGTTAATAAAGGTTACCTTATGATTTTTGTTTTAGATTGTACCAACCTTGAGTAAAATTCCGGGGCCATGCCACTGATTCACCATGTATATCACTTTCGTCTATGGTCAAGAAAAATACAAGAGGCCTAGTATAAATAGTCTCATGTGGAATGTCACTTTTGTCTCGGGTCAAATTTAATGTGGAGAATTATGAATTCTTTGTGTACGCAAGATGATGGTAAAATAACACCTCATTCTACGACAGAGCTCAACTCCTCACAAATTGCAGAAAGCAGAACACAATAAACCACACAAAATTAACATGTTGTGCATGTGCAATGTCACTTTAGGAACACAAGAAACCTAGCTAGCTTAGTACAAATAGACCAGTTATGGCCAAGAAAAACACAAGAGGTCTAGTACAAATAGTCTCCTATGGAATGTTACCTTGGTCATGGAACAAATTTTTAACATAGAGAATTATGAGTTTTCTGGACAACTATAGTGATAATATAACACCTTATTCTACGACAGGGCTCAACTCCTCACAAATTGCACAAAGCACAACACATTAATCACACAAAAATGGCCATGTTGCTGCGCATGTGCAATGTCACTTTGAAACCCGAACCAAACTAATCATAACCACATTAATAACACCACCAAATTGTCAGCCAATTAGTACGAAACAATGATTTATTCAATATGTAATCATTAATTATTGGGTCCAAGGAAGTACTAAATCAACTATATATTTGAACGATGTTGGGATTTTTAGTGGTGTGAATGGAAATAAAAGGGAAAAGTTTCAAGAGAGTCTCTTGAAGTACCATGTTGGTAAGATGTGGGAAGGCACGGCCTCGAATTCGATCGATACGTCATGTGGTTAACCGGTTAAATTGGTTTGTGTACCAAACGGACCAAACCAAATCGAGTTGAACCAAATCGAACCAAACCGATGTGGCAGTTGGAATAATCAAACCGGTCCAACTACTATGGGCCGAACCGATGCAATGGTTCATTATTTCAAACATGAACCAATGTGTTGGTTGGGGTGTAACCACCCATACGAAGAGTTGCCTCCCTTCGTAAGCACCCCTTCATTTTCTATAAATAGCACCATACCCCCTCTAGTTTTAACTGCGAGATACATATAGATTTTTCCGATACGAAAATTCTGTCTAAATCCAAAACTAGTTTTCTGCATTCTTTTCAAAGAGAAAATAGAGTCAAGTGTGGTTCTCGCCGGTTCGCTGCGTTCGATGGGTTCCGGGGTTTGAGGTACCGCTACGCCGGAAAAGGTACGTCCTTTCTATCCTGGGAGGAATCATTCCATAACCTTGGGTACTAGAGGGGAATACGATTCTTTAAGGAGAGATAGTGAATTCTATCAGCTAGGACGCTTGCATGTCTTTGCATGTTTTCTTAATCTCATGTGTTTGCTTACGTTGCAAGAAAATAGTATACGTGAACAATTTCCACAACAAGCGATAGTGGGCTAAATAATCTAGTCTTAGATCTCTAGTACTCAGATGTTATGTTAGCTGGTATATGTGATGATTAGAGACTAAACCTTGTGATGTTACCTACTTGTAATATTACCTAATTTATACATATAAAACGCAATAACGATTGCTACAGTATTAACAATTGATTCAAGCATGATCGAGTTATAATCAGTAGGGATACGAACTCTGGATTGAAAATTGGATTTCTGGGTATGGTATCCAAGTTCATAGCAAGAAAAGAAGCA